GGGCCAAACTTCAGTCAGGAGAACAACTGAGATTATTCATCCACAATACAAGGTAGTTATTAATGTACTGCAACAACATGGGAATAGAACAGCTACGAGAGAATTCAACATTAATGAATCAATGTTATGGAAGTGAAGCAGAGTTTTTGGCTTTCCCCATATTTCAAAAGTGCTTCATCTCTTTGCTATGACTGTCAGCATAATTTGCAGATGATAATGGTTGTAGCCGCTGTGACGCTTTTGGCCAAAACAGGCGCAGCTTGATGACATCATCAACATGCGCTATCGCGATAGAGCGGTATAGTCAAAATCTCTATCGTTGGCCAAATTTATATCGTTTCTATCGTATATCGTTTATATCGCCCACCCCTACACTGTAGCTCTGTACAGGGGCGAGAATTACAAAAAAAGACAATGCATCACTGTCCAAATACTTATGGACACATTATGGACCTAAACAGATCATCTGTTTAACTTGTTATGTAGACACATGGAAACATGAATAGCACAAAGGAGATGCTCCAATGTGCTACTCACTGAAAACCACATGTCAGCATGAATGATTCCTGTAAGAGTGTGAGAATTTAAACTAAAACATATTTGAACCTCTTTTGACTTAATTATCAAGCAAATACCTGCAGCTGAGATCTGCTGAGAACGCAGCCCATCTGACGCTGCCAAACATGCTGTAAACAAACCAACTTCCTGTCATAAAATTACAGCTCATTACTAGTGTGGATAAGGGCTTCAACAACATAATGATGCAGAAGCACATTACCACCACTATATTTATTAATTACCAGTTGAGTAGCCACATTCCTTGCAAGGGCGGTTAATGGAGGGAGAGGAAGGGGAAAAAAAACGTTAGAAGCCTTGTTGAGTTAATTACAAACAGCCTGCCTTTTTTTCTCCAAGTTAAAACAAATACTAGAGGAAGGACACATGTAGAACACAAAGTTTTAATTTTGCTACTGGCACAGAAAGCTGTTTAGGGTGATTGGAGGGTCACTTCCACTGCCACCATCATATTTTAGAAAGTTATTAAGCAGGGGAGCTTGTCTGAATCCCAGCATCCAGTTTAATTAAGCAAAGTCGGCAAAGCCACATTAAAAACATAGCTTGATTTTCAAAAATATTATTAGGAAATATAATTCTAAGTAACCCATTATATATTTATCACTAATTTAGGCAATTACAGGTTACATAACCTGTATCTGTAATCTGATTACAGGACCTGCCATATGCTGCTTTCTAATCAGAGAGTAGATATTGTTTATGCCAGAAATCTAATGCATTATTTACAAGTAAGATGTTAATAAAAACAGACTGTTCATTTACTAATGGTTTACAGTACCGCAGGCATCGTTCCAATTAGCAATATAGAGATGGAAAAGGAGACTAAGTGAAAACAAGAGAGGTGGGAGGGTGCTGTGGGTCAGACAACAACATGTTTTCAGAGATGATTATTTGGATGACACAGGCACTCGCTGCTTCTTGTTTTTAAACTCACATAAAAATGAAATGTTACTTGATAATATTGTTTTATGTATTTAGCAGAACAGAATGTGGAAAGAGTGCCGAAAGAATGTTATCACCGTTTTAATCATCAATCATTCTGACCGTGTTAGACTGAGTTCAGCCCAAGGGCACTCCATGGTGGGGAAAAAACAGTACACATATGAGTTAGTTAATAAATGCAGAGTAAAACAGAACACACTCACTTGATGAGCAGGGTCTCTGTCAGTATACCGAAGAAAATTGCTGCCACTTTAAAGGTGCTGGGAGGAGGAGGGCTGGTGAAGGCCGTCATCATGCAGTAAACAGCGTAGGGCACCAGACTCATCAAAACGGTCGCCGTGATCAGCACGAGCCACGTCTGCCACTGGAAGCTCACCGACCGCCACGGGGAACTCCTCTGCAGCTGGTACTGGACGACACAAAGAAGGAAGCCTCGTGACAACGTTCATTCTACATGTAGAAACGCAATGTTTTTGATTCTGACCTCCATGATCACGTTTGGATGAACCCACTTTAAATGCTCAAAGCAGTAAAAAAAAAAGCTCAAGTTGCGTAAACTTCATATTTAATGCTACAATAACGTTCATGCGACACTTTCATTTTTTAATTTAGCACCCTGATTATTTCGGAATAACTTCAACTACAGTGTGGATGAAAAGCACCACTTAAAAGTACAATTACCCTGTGCTCATTTCGACTGAATGTGAGCTTGTGTGTGTGTGTGTGTGTGTGTGACATCAACATATTCATGCTACTGGTGAGAGATAAAACGAAAGAATTAAAATGAGTCCTGTCAAGCTGAGAGTATTATGCAAGAAAGACAGGAGAACATGAAGTAAAAGCAAAGACCAGCCGTCAACCTGTCTGTCAGCGTCACTCTGTTTATTAATAATGTCCAGACTGGCCGCCTGGAAAGCGAAGGGTGTGCATATTATGCATGCGTTATGTCCTTCTAAGTGGTTTGGTAAATTATATTTTGTAGTCAGTAACTCAGGTTGTTTTGTTTACCTGAATATGAGCTCAGCAAATCTGTGACACGAAGAGTTAAGTGAGCTGAGCCGATGACTATCGCCACGTTAGCGCAGACAGGTAAGTGCAGAGCGCTCTGGCTCAGTGTGAAATCCTCCAAAGTCAAATTCAAGCTGTCTCTCTGAAGTTTGCAAGATTACATAAATAGAGACTCACAATTTTGAAACACAATAACATGATCTGCATTCTTATCTTATTGTTTGTAATTTAAATTTTTGTAATTTAATAATGTATACTTTATTGATCCCCGTGGGGAAATTACTTTCTCTGAGTTTACATGAAATTTTTGACTTGAGTCCATAAACTCTGGAGTGCACCTAAACAACACTGTACTTTCTTTATTCTCCAAAAGAGGAAATAAAATACCCACATTTAGCATACTTTAGACATCAATCATCATTCAAGCTAATTTCATCTACTGGTTAATTTCAAGAGCCAATAAAGGCAAAACAAACATTGCAACATGTCTTAATAAGGTGTTATAACAGCAGGAGCGCTGTGAAAGGACATGATATTAAAAAGAATATTATTAGCATAAAAAATGGCATAAAAAACAGGTTCAGGCACTCCACAGATTTGGATTAGTTTGTTTTTAATTTCTCTAGCTGACTAAAATAATGGCCTGTTACTGCTTGTCCAAACCTAACTTAAGTGCCTGGAGTGTGCTGACTGATTCACTGGAGAACATACTTCATGTTAAAACTACCAGCTGTGGTCTGTGCTCTGTATGTTAACGCATTAATATTAAAACACAAACAGAAACAGTGAAATCCCAACAAAACTAAGTGACGGACCTTTAATTGTCTGAAGATAGATATCCTTTCATTATTTCTTCTGTTTAACATGGAAAAACTGGCAGATTTTTGGCATTTCAATCTCCTCCCATTTTGTTAAACTTCATGGATTATAACAACCCAACCTTTCCTGTGCAAATTCACATTAAAAGCTCTCAGAGAAAACACTTGTATTGTGAAAAGTTTGCAGTAACTTGTGTAAAAACAAATTTAAGAAAAACTGCGCATAACATTGTTGACATCTAGCGACTGATTTATGTGTCATTTGACCACAACAGAGAATAAGTGAGAGAGCAATACCATCCCACAGGGAAAGAATGAAGGATAAATCATCATTAGACGATAGGGAATGGTCTCAAGATAGCACTGTGCGCCACTTCTGCAGCCCACATGGAAATACCTAAATGCAGCCAATGCTTACTCAGCTGTGATTGGTCAATACAACTTGGACTACAAATGGAAGTACAAAAATGTTGACCCGATCGCCACAGATCTGGTATATCCATACAAAGATCTCAGTTTATAGAGATTAATAGCTGTCCACCTCGTAGAAATTAGAGGCACTCTAGCTTGTAAATGTGTCCCCATCTTAAAGCAGTTAGCATACACTGAGCAGCAGAACAAAGTTTCTTCATATCCAAATCCTAGTACAGTAACTGCACTTTGACCCTGTAATAGAGACTAAACAAAACCTCCTAATATTGGAAGAAACTCAAACTAATGCTTTAACCTCACACCTGCTCTACACATTCAGTGCTTCATTACTTCAGGCTTGGCATGGTTGTACATAACACCTGAAAGCAGGATAAAACACACACACACACATAACAGACACATATAAGCACTAAAAAATGCATGCAGTCATTAAGTGTGCATGCAAACAGTGCCTTAAGTCCTGTCCAAATATCGCCTCGCTCTGGAGACAAACCAAACCACTTAAACAGCGTTTGATTAGTGTCTGGAATTCATCTGCAAATGCACACTTGCCTTGTCCTCTTTCATGGCTGCTATTCATTAATTAGATTCTTTGTGCAACTGAGCTATCCTCAATGTTTAAGGTTACATCAGGCCCCAGTAAGTGGCTGGCTGATAACAGAATGCATCCATCTTCATTACTCAGCCCTTTCTGTCGAGGCTTGCTCCTCCACAAGTGAGCAATGTCAGTAGGTTCTAAGAAGCTGATACATTTCATTGCATTCAAATCCTGAACTTTTGCCTCCTTTGATTTCGGTTGATCTGATTAAATTACTGGGTTATGGTTTCCACTCGTGTTCTCTCGTGGTTCTTTTGTGGTGGTTTTTTTCCTTGTCAAGGTCGAGCAGTGTCACAGCCAAATGAAAACCAATAACCTTTTGGGGGGTTTAGACTGCAAACCTTTTTTGTCCATGTATATATCTTA